AGGCAGAGGTTGCAGTGAGCTGAGACTGCACCATTGCCCTCCAGCCTGGGTGACAAGAAGGAAACTCCCATCTCCCAAAAAAAGAAAATGGAAGGTTTTAGTCTACCAACCTTGTTCTTCTTTTTCAAGATTGTTTTGACCTATTTGGGATTTCTTGAGATTCTATATGAATTTTAGGATCAGCTTATTAATTTCAAAGAAGAAACCAGCTAAGTTTCTTAAAGGGTTCTTGTAATGCATGAACATGGGTGTCTGTTTATATAGGTCATAAAATTTCTTTCAACAGTGTTTCGTAGGTTTTAGAGTATGAGGTTTGTATTTCTTTTAAGTTTATTCCTGTTTTCTTCTTTCTGATACTATTGTAATTGGAATTTTCTTGAAATTGTTTTCAGATTGTTACAAGTGTATGAAAATACAATAGGTTTTTGTATGTTGATCTATTATCCTGCAACCTTGCTGAAGTAATTTATGAATTCTTATAGTTTTAGTGGATTCCTTAGAATTTTCTAGGTACAGAATCATGTCATGTGAATAGAGATCATTTTCCTTCCTTTCAAATCTGGATGCTTTTAATTTCCTTTTCTTGCCTGGTTGCCTAGCTAGCCTCCAGTACAATGTTGAACAAAAGTGGCAAGAACAGGCCTCCTTGTTTTGTTCCTGATCTTAGGGGAAGCATGCAGCCTTTCACCGTTTAAGTGTGCTGTTAGTCGTGGGGTTGGATAGATGCCTTATATTAGGTTGAGGGGCTTCCTTTATTTAAAACTCCTTGGTCATTGAGTGTTTTCGTTTACTTTTAACTATATACAGATATATTACTTTCCAGTTAAAGTAGTCACTTACTGTGTCAAGACAAAAATATTTAGTCAGCATTTTAGACATAGTATATAGTCCCATACTGCATCTTTGGGTCAACAGTGGACCATATATATGACAGTGGTCCTGTAAGATTATAATACTCTGTTTTTACTGTTTCTTTTCTATGTTTAGATACACAAACATTTACCATTGTGTTATAATTGCCTATAGTATTCAGTACCATAACATGCTGTACGGGTCTGTAGTCTAGGAGCAATAGGGCTATACCATAGAGCCTAGGTGTGTAGTAGGTGCTCCCATCCAGGTGTGTGTAAGTGCACTCTAGAATGTTCACACGATAGTAAAATCTCCTAATGCTGCATTTTCCAGCACGCACTCTCCCTGTTAAAGCTTAGTTTTAATGTGGCTTTGCTTACCCCTTTCCTGGTTGATCAGCACATAGATTGCTTGGATTTCTTCATGTTCACAGGTGTGTGTTAGTCAACATTCAGCCAGTATTTTTGGAGCAGCTATGGGTGCCTGGTGGTTTCTCAGGGCTGAGGATACAGCAGTGGCAAAAGTCAGCCATCTCTGCCTTCTTGGAGTTTCTAGTTGGAGGGAGAGAGAGAGTAGTGTGAAGCCTTCCGTCCAGAGGGTGGGTCTGCTGGTGGGAAGGCCTGTCACCGTGGTGACAGTGTGAGGTGACAGCTGGGAGGTGACTTGAGAGCTGGTGAGTGGGTCTGTCTGCTCTGGCTGCCATGGCTGAGTCTCAGCCCACTTCCTAGGGCCTACTCTGCATGGATGATTGGGGACGAATGGTCTCCTTACGGCTTCATTCTGTCCCTGCCCGCTTGTGTTCTCACCTTTGGCTCAGAACTCTCCCAGCCTTTCCTGGTGTCATCACACCCCAAACTCCCTGACCCCTTCTGTGAGCTGCCAGTCATCCCAGCCCACTCTCCTCGGGCTGACCCTGGGCTGCAGGGAGCGGGATGGGTGTCGGCTGGTCTGTCCCACACAGCTAGCTGACGAGGCGGTTTCTGGGGCAGGAGTGGAGGCAGCACAGACAGTGAGGATGAAGAAGAGGAGGACGAGGAGGAGGAGGAAGACGAGGAGGGCATTGGCTGTGCAGCCCGTGGAGGGGCCACCCCCATGTCCTACCCCAGCCCTGGCCCTCAGCCTCCAGGTGAATGAATGGGCGGTGTGGTCAGGTGTACACAGGGCTGTCTGCCTGCTACCGAGTTCACCCTCTATGCCGCTCCCCCAACTCCATCCCAGGCCCCAGCTGGACAGCCACCTTTGACCCAGTGCCTACAGATGCCCCGACCAGCCCCCGAGTCTCCAGGGAGGAAGAGCTGCACACCGGGCCTCCAGCCCCACAGGGACCCCTCAGTGTGTCCCAGGACCTCCCCACCGAGGACCTGGCCAGCCCTCCTGCCCGTGATGCCCTGCAGCTCAGGTAAGAACCAGATGGGACGGGCTGGATGGCGCTGGTATCCCGAGACCAGGAGGTGGCCATGGGGTCCCAGTCCTCTCATAGGCTCGAGTGCTAACCCTAGCTGCCCCCTTGGGCTGCCTCTCATCTGCCAGGTCTCAGGACCCCACACCCCCCTCAGCACCTCAGGAAGCCACAGAAGGCAGCAAAGTCATAGAGCCCTCAGGTGAGCCCCAGTTTGCCCTGCCCACCTGTGGCCCTGGGCAGAGAGAGCAGCCTGGCCAGCTCTGAGCCTGCTGGGAGGCTGCAGCTGAGATCTCTCATCCCCCACAGCCCCCTGCCAGGCCTTGGTTAGCATCGGGGACCTTCAGGCCACCTTCCACGGGATCCGTTCTGCCCCCAATTCCTCGGACAGGTGAGCGGCGAGGTGGGGCTTGCTAAGGTGAGGGCCGGGTGTCAGGAGAAGTCTTTTCTCCTCTGCGGTGAGGTGGGCTCTGGGTTCATCTTGTCCCTGAGCTGCTCCAGGTCTCCTTTGCAGGACCCCCAGGCCTAGCCTCATGTTGTGCCCCGGCCCCCTGCACTCTGTAGGCTGGTTCTTCTCTTAGTAGCCTGGGATGCTTGGGGCCCTTGAGCCCCAGGGTTGGGAAAGGCTCGTTGGAGGGTGTGAAGGATTGGGAGGGTGAGAGCATGCAGAAGGCCCCTTGGGGCTGTCTCAGCTGGCCTCGAGTGCCTCTTCCACAGGGACAGGAGGCGGGAAGAGGGTTGCTTGTCTTCCTGCCCAGGGCCATGCCGTCCCTCCACGCTGAGCCAGCTGAGTCCTTGGGAGGCCCCTCCTGGTGGGGCAGGTGGCAGACACCCAGTGAGCCGACTTCAGTCGTCTGGGGTGTGAGGGTGTCAGCAGGTGACAGTGGGGGCCACGCTGACAGCCGCACTTTCCTCACCCACAGTGCAACCAGAGACCCCGCTACCTCTGTCCCAGCCTCCGGGGCCCACCAGCGCCCGCAGACCACAGATGGGGAGAAGAGCCCAGAGCCCTTGGGGCTTCCCCAAAGCCAGAGGTGAGCACCAGGGCAGCGGGGCACGGCAGGGCTGGTGGGGCAGGAAGTGACCTCTGCACATCCCCTCTCTCCCGTGACAGTGCCCAGGCCCTCACGCCTCCTCCGATACCCAATGGCTCTGCCCCGGAAGGGCCTGCATCCCCAGGCTCCCAGTGAGTGTGGCTGCAGCCTGGGGCTGGGTAGGTGGGGCTGGGCCTGCTGGACCCTCACACGACGTCTCCCTCTGTTTCCAGATAGCTGCCTGGTGCGGCAGCGGCGGCCAAATCTTCCGTCCTTCCGTGGATCTCCCAGGGTGGGGGCAGGGCGGGTCCCATGATGGCCCCCAGTGTCCTCATCACCCTGAACCCCCCACATTCTCTCCTCTGGACCCCCAGGAGGCGGGTGTCAGGGAGACAGGCCCAACCCACCCCCATTTGCACTGAGAAGAGAAGTTTTGGAGCATTGCCTCCTAGAATAAAGATAAAGAGAGTCAAATAGAGAGAATGGAGAGAGAGAAACGTATATTATATATTATATATAGAGAGAGGGAGGAGAGCGAGAGAAAGTGAGGACACCAAACTGGGCTGGCGGCTCCAAAGCACAGCCTTCCCCGTTCCGTCCCAGCGGGGGCTGGTGTTAGGGGTCCCAAGGTTGCCGCCCACGTGCCCAGCCGTCCCATGCTCCAGCGCAGATGGCCACGCCCACACCCGGCCTTTCAGCTCAGGTCCACCATGGGGGACGGCCCAGTGCAGGTGGGGGTGCCAGAGGATCCCGAGTGGGGGCCGTGCCTTTGCCCAGACCCTGCACTTTCAACCAGGCCAGTCCGGCTCTGGGGAGCAGGGGCCTCCCCGGCAACACCCCTAGGGGCCTTGAGGGTCTGGGGTCCCAGCCCTGTTGCCAAGTGGCCTTGTCCCCAGCTCCCTCCTCCAGGCTGGTGTGTGTGTGCGTGCGTTCGTGCCGAGCTTCTATTTCATATTGCAAATATAAATAAAGGAAGACAGTTTACGATTCTGCTGATCAGACGTTACGTTCTGGGATGCGGGGTGGGGAGCCTGTGTTATCCCTGCACCTCAGAGGCTGGGGGTGCTTCTGACCCAGTCTGTCCCAACACTGTGTCCTGCCAGGGGGAGGCCTGAGGCTGCAGAGGCCCCAGGCTGGGCCAGGTGCTGGCTGTGAGGGCTCCTACCAGGCCTACCCCACCTGTGGGCAGGCCTGTGGGCAGAGAATAGAAGCCACCGACGTGCTCACATCCCTGCTCCTGCCTGCACTTACCCCCAGTAACCAAGCGCAGCATTGAGGCTGGGCTCTGGCATCCAGTAGGTATGAGTCTTTCAGGTGGAAGGTGGAAATGTAGGCTGGGTGTGCAGCGAGTGGCACGGGTGAGCGGCGCTGGGAAACCGGAGCGTGTGGACCGGGCCATGAGGACAGTGTCCTCACTTGGATGGCAGTTGGCTTGGAGGTCACCCGGGGCTCACTCAGCTAACAGGAGAGGGTGCTTATTCACCGCATTCATGGTGGTCCCTCCTCGTCACCCATTGAAGCAGTGTTTGTGGTGGAGCCCATGAGGGCTTGGTGGGGTTGAGCAGAATGAGGGAAGGTTTCATGGAGCAGGGAGGGAGATGGCTAGGGCAGCAAGTGAAGGGCGGACTCGCCTTCCCATCCCTCCAGGGGTGCTCCTGCCAGCCAGCCCCTCCCCCGCTTTCATGAAGGGGTGGCCGTTGGAATTCTGCACTCCATCTCTGCTGATTGGGCCCAGGACAAGGGGACGGGCATTTGTGGGCCTCACCCCCCCCCAGGCAGACAGGAGGAGGAAACCATGTCCCAGCAGGCAGGGCAGAGGGACCCCCGATGCCAACAGTGCTTTATCAGCGGGTGCCAGGCAAGGCCGTCCCCAGGGTGAGGACAACATCTCTCCGGGCCCTGTTATCAGTCACAGAGTCCACAGGACGCTCCTTGGGTTAACGTGTAACCATGAGCCGTCCCCTCCACCCCCTGAAGCCACTCGCTCCCAGATTAGGTCGCTCTGGGGGTATCAGGCCAGCATGGATGCTGGCAAAGCAGGGCAGAGCCTGAAGACTCACTGCTCAGCCCAGGTGAGAGCCTTCCGAGGTGTGCCTGGGGCTGGGGGCCAGGCCCCTGGAACCCCAGCAGCCGGTGGGTCTGGGAGCTGCTGTCCTTGCGTTGGTTGGGACCCTGGGAAGCTGGGTTCTGGCAGCCTGGTCCCTGAATGGGTACAGCCTGTACAGCTGGGGTCCCAGGTAGGGGTGGGACAGGAGCCACAAGATCTCAGTCCCAAGAATGGGGGCTGGGCTGGGTTTGGGCTCAGCAGCTCCCCATTCCCCAAAGCGCCCAGATGTCTGCAGGTGGCTGAGCCCCTTCATCCTCTCCTGCTGCGTGTACTTCTGCCTCTGGATTTCCGAGGACCAGCCGTCCTGGGTCGCTGCCCTGGTCAAGTGCCTGCCCATCCTCGGCCTGGCCGGGTTCCTGTGGGTCGTGTGCCCGGGCGGGGGCTACAGCTGGCTCCTCCAGGGAGCCCTCTTGTGCTCGGCAGTGGGGGACGCCTGCCTCATCTGGCCTGGAGCCTTCCTCCTTGGTGAGCGGAAGCTGCCGTGATGCCTTCCGGATACCCGTGTGAGCGAGGCCCCAGCACTTGGATGGGAGCCTGGGGTGCAGAGGGCTCCTGTGAGAGCTCCGGTGGTCAGAGGCACAGTGGGGGGCGCAGCCGTGACCGAGGCAGCTCACGCTCCAGCGAGGGATGGGGGCTGGCGGTGTAGGGCAGTAGCTGGGGGTGGCAAGGGCAGTGAGGACCCGCTGGGGGTGCTGCAGTTTGAAGCAGGGTTGCTGAGGACGGTGTCGCTGAGGAAGTCACATTTGGGCAGAGCAGAAGGTGCTGTGTGCCTTTGTGGGGGAAGGGCAAGTGCAAAGGCTCCGGGACAGGGGTGTGCCAGGTGTTTGTGGCCGGGCAGGCCAGGGTGACCGGGCACAGTGGCTGGTGAGCCGGAGGGCATGGGGCTTTGGAGGCCAAGAGAAGATGGGGCCTCCTGGCGGTTCTGAGCAGAGCAAGGATGGACACTGCATGTGGGGAGGCCTGCAAGGAGGCTTGGCCAGGGTGGGGCCTGGTGCTTTGGGACGGCCCTTATTTTAGGCCCTGAGGGGTGACCTCGGGGCCATTCCCAGGATGGGCCTTCCTCACTGGCACCCCACCCCTCTCCCACCAGGCATGGCCACCTTCGCCACCACCCACCTTCTCTACATCTGGGCCTTCGGCTTCTCTCCCCTGCAGCCTGGCCTGCTGCTGCTCATCATCCTGGCCTCTGGCCCCTACCTCAGCCTTGTGCTCCAGCACCTTGAGCCGGATATGGGCCTGCCTGTGGCAGCCTATGGGCTGATCCTGATGGCCATGCTGTGGCGCGGCCTGGCCCGGGGCGGGAGTGCCGGCTGGGGCGCGCTGCTCTTCACACTCTCTGATGGCATGCTGGCCTGGGACACCTTCGTCCAGCCCCTGCCCCATGCCCGCCTGGTGGTCATGACCACCTACTACGCTGCCCAGCTCCTCATCACACTGTCGGCCCTCAGGAGCCAGATGGCCAAGACCGACTGACTAGAGAGCTTGAAGGGCCGGTATTCAGGCGCTCTCCTCTTGCAAAGACCTGGGCCTCCCAGATCAGCCCAGCCTGAGAAATACCCTCAGCAGCGAAGCTTCCTCATGCCTGTCTGCAGGCGCCACCGCCGCCGCCGCTTCCAGCTGAAGATGTTTGAGGACCATTTGCGGAATTCCAAGTCCATTGCTGGGTTCCAGCTGCCTTCTCCAGGTTCTGACTCCAGATCCCTGGCTCCTCAGCCAGGCCCACATGTGGCCCTCCCAGCCACCAGCCCGCCTCCGTGTTCTGTGCCGGCCCCACAGTCTGCCTGCCCCCAGCTCCTGCTCTGAATCCGTTTTCCTTGTCTTAGTAAAGTGGGTGTGGAACCATTGATGCTGCTGTTACTGTGGGAGAGGCCTCGGGGAAGATCATTGTGATTAACCATCGTGGTTAATGACAGCAAACGGTTCTTGGTCACTCCCCATGGACCAGGCCTGGTGCCCAGTGGGACCCTCCCTGGCCGTCGGGTGGGAGTGGATTTGAGGAGATAAAGTGAGGATTGTGCAGAACTGAGCCAAGAGAACTGTTTGGTCTGTGTTAGTTTCCTGGGGCTGCCGTCACAAATAAATTACCCCGAACCAGATGCTTTGAAACAAGATGAATGGACTCTCCTGCAGTTCTGGAGACCCAAAGTCCAAAATCAGGGTATTTTCCTGCCCATGCTCCCTCTTAAGGCTCTCGGGAAGAATCCATCCTTGCCCTCTTGGCTCCTGGAGGCTCCCAGGAATCCCTGGCTTCCCTCGGCCTGTGGCTGTGTCTCTCCGTCTTGATGTGACTGGCTTCACCGGGCAGCCTCCCTCTGTGTCTGCAGCCTTCTAGGGACACAGGCCATTGGATTTAGGGCCCACCGTAAACCCAGGGTGATTCCATCTCAAGATCCTTAAGTATGTGTGCAAAGACCCTGTTTGTAAGTAGTGTCACCTGCATAGGTACCTGGGGTTAGGACTTGGACATATCTTTTTAGGGGACACAACCCGCTGCAGTCACATGCAGTATCGGGAGAAGGGTAGGAGGCTTGAGGATGAGGAGGGAGGGTGGCAAGGGGGTAGGAATCAAATGGGAAGAAGGAACCCAGCTGTGCTCCTTGTCAAGGGTGTGTGACCTTGGCAAGCTGCTGTCCCTCTCTGGTCCTCAGATTCTGCATCTGAATACCTGACAGGGTCCAAGCTGCTCTCCAAGACCCTATTTGACTTCTGCATCCATGATGTGCTTTTAGTGACTCATAGCAGAGAGGCAACTTCTCCATCCATGGTCAGCATTTAGAGACTCTTACAGCAGAGAGGCGACTTCTCCATCCATGGTCAGACTCTTACAGCAGAGAGGCGACTTCTCCATCCATGGTCAGCATTTAGAGACTCTTACAGCAGAGAGGCGACTTCTCCATCCATGGTCAGCATTTAGAAACTCTTACAGCAGAGAGGCGACTTCTCCATCCATGGTCAGCATTTAGAGACTCTTACAGCAGAGAGGCGACTTCTCCATCCATGGTCAGCGTTTAGAGACTCTTACAGCAGAGAGGCGACTTCTCCATCCAGGACCTGCATTTCGGGACTCTCGGATGTGAGAGTACAGAGGTGGGAAGGGAAGGTGGGCATCCTGGAGGACAGGGACCAGGAAGGAAAGTGAGGACAGGAATCCACAGTTGGAGTGAGGAGAAGTGGAAGCTGAGGGATTTCCCTCAGTAAGAGTCAGGCGTGAGGAGGATCTGAAGAATTGCACTCAGGCTTGAAACCTCCACTTCCTCCTCATCTCCTACCCTCCTCTCCACTCAGACCTGATGAAAGGCGGGGAAAGAGGAACTTCCACAGGAAAGTGCAGCTGGAGGGACGGGGCTCTGGGTGTGCAGATTCCAGGGGTGCATGGGGCCTGCAGACATGGCTGTCCAAAGCGACAGGACGCTGCCCTCCTGTCAGCATCCTGCAGCCCCAGCATCCTGTCCCTCCTCCCTGATTCTGGCCCCCGGACGACCTTTCGTCTGACTTTTCAAAGGTCTGCTTTCTCACAGTCTGATTCGTGTTTCTCTAAAGCAGAGCTCTCAGAGGTGCTGTGCACATCCCCCTCAGGCTCCTTCCAGCCCTGCCAGGACCCAGACCTGGGGCAAGGGGCAAAACGCTGTCTCCTCTTCCCTCTCAAGTCAGGGTGGCTGGTGGGGATGAGGTGGGGTGGGACTCAGCAGCCTTCATTCCGATCCTGCAGGTCAGACCACCCCTGGGTCTGATTCCCTGTCTGGTCCCTCCCCAGACCCTCTGGACGACAGAGGCCACAGCAGCAGGTTAGTGACCCCATCAGCCTCCATCCTGCACGTCTAGGAAGGGCCGTGGGATTCCCTCTTCTGTTCACCACAGAGCCTTCTCCCCACGTCTCAGCCCCCAAGGCAGTCAGAATCCTGAGTGCGGAGGCTCGGACCTCCAGCTCCATCACCCTGAGCTGGGCAGCCCCAAGGACCCAGACCTGCAGACTTCCATCTACTGGGTCCGGGGGCAGGCATGGCCAGCAGGAACACAAGCACGTCAGACTGCTGGCTAGGGGTGGAGGGGCTTCAGCCTGAGACCCTCTACACCTTCTCTGTGTGGGCCGAGAATAGAGGAATTGGTGGCCCCAGGGACGTCCTGAGCACGTCCACAGGTCAGAGTGGCCACCTGTCCACTGCCCAGCAACATGTGCGTGTGTGTGCCTGTGTGTGCACGTGCGTGTGTGTGTTTGCACATTTGTAAAAAGTGCCAGGCTGTGCACTTTATTCTCATGATTAGAGCCACAAACAAACTTCATCAAATGACTCTTCTTTCCACATTCCCAAACTAGTCCCTGGCCTGGTCACGCAGGCTCAGACCACCAGCTCCCTCACCCTGAGGCCCCTACAGGCCCAGACCCCAAGACCTGCCCCTACTGGCTCCACTGGGCCAGTGACTCCTCAGACATCAGGGTGCCTGTGGAGGGCCTGACTGCAGGGACCAGCATGTGGGCGCAGTAGCATGAGGTCAACAGCCCCGGCCAGATGCTCACAGAGGCCACAGGTGAGAGGAGCGAGAGCACCCCGGGCTTGGGGAGTAGGAGGCCTCTGGCTTCTGGGCTCCACTGATAGGGTGCATGCCTCCATAACAAGAAGGGCTGTGGGAAGGAGGGGATGCTTCCCTTGGCTCTGGAGGCCCGGGGACTATGGCGTGTGGTCTGTGAAGCAGGTTCCCTGTGCACTGGTTACCAACTTACCAGAGCCCGATGAGACAGAACGCCACACATGCAAAAAGTTACATGAAGTGGGCTTGTTCCTCACAGATGGGCAGCAAGGGACAGGATCCATTGTGAGCTGATCCCCCAAGGCTTAGGAAAGTGGCCTAGGCAGGATAGGGTCACAATTGTGTGTGTCTCACTTGTATGGCAGTTGAGGGACCCCAAAAAGTACCCAGCCCTGGGTTTTCTACTCTGGGTGAAACCTGAGTCACTGGGCTCAAGCATTGAAGGGCATTCTGTCTCTAGGGTAGGCAGGAATGGAGCCCAGGCTGCCTGGCCGGTCCCTCCATATCTCGGGATGTTGCATTCCCAGCACATTCTACAGTTACTTTTGAGAACTACAAGTAAGAGACAACTGGGTCTGTTTAAGGCCACTCAGAGAACCTTCCTGCAGGAACCCTGACCCCCTTCCCTTCCTTTCCTTGCCCGGTCAGGTCGTGGATCTGAGGATACAGGCTTAGACCCCGAGTTCTGTGACACTATGGTGTATATCCCCGCTGGGCCCAGACCCCCACACCTACACCTACTGGGTCCAGTGGGCAGGGACCACAGTCCCCAGTGGGACCAGAAATGTGGCAGAGAGGGAGTCGTGGTGGAGGCCCTGGAATCTGGGGCTTCATAAACCTTCATTGTGTGGGCTGAAAGGTGCGGTGGCTCACGCCTGTAATCCCTGCACTTTGGGAGGCCAAGGTGGGCAGATGACCTGAGGTCAGGAGCTCAAGACCAGCCTGGCCAACATGATGAAACCCTGTCTCTACTAAAAATACAAGAAAATTAGCTGGATGTGGTGGAGCATGCCTGTAATCCCAGCTACTCAGGAGACTGAGGCAGGAGAATCGCTTGAACACGGGAGGTGGAGGTTGCAGTGAGCCAAGATCGCGCCACTGCACTCCAGCCTGGGTGACCAGAGCAAAACTCCGTCTCCAAAAATAAATAGCCAGGCATGGTGGCTCACGCCTGTAATCCCAGCACCTTGGGAGGCCAAGGCAGGCAGATCACCAGGTCAGGAGTTCAAGACCAGCCTGGACAACATGATGCAACCCCATCTCTACTAAAAATACAAAAATTAGCCAGGCATGGTGGCACATGACTGTAATCTCAGCTCCTCGAGAGCCTGAGGCAGGAGAATCGCTTCAATTCGGGAACTAGAGGTTTCAGTGAGCCTAGATCATGCCATTGCACTCTAGCCTGGGTGACAAAGTGAGACTCTGTCTCAAATAGCATGGTGTGGTGGCTCTCGCCTGCAATCTCAGCACTTTGGGAGGCCACGGCGGGCGGATCACCTGAGGTAGGGAGTTGGAGACCAGCCTGACCAACATGGAGAAACCCCGTCTTTACTAAAAATATATAACTAGCCGGGTGTGGTGGCACATGCCTGTAGAATCGCTTGAACCCAGGAGGCGGAGGTTGTGGTGAGCCGAGATCACACCACTGCACTCCAGCCTGGGCAACAAGAGCAAAACTCCGTCTCAAAAATAAATTTTCTGCATCTTAGCAGGTTCTCCTGCCTCCTCTCCAGTTTGTACCCGCCTTCCCCAAGAGTGGCCAGTCTCCTGATCTTTATCACCGTAAATTAGTGTAGTCTGTCTTTGAACCTTCTCTAAGGGGAATTATACAGTATATAGTTATTTGATCCTGGCTTTCTTCACTCAACACTGGATGAAGTGTGGATCCATGCTGTGTGTTTTTATTTTTATTACTGTGTAGTATTTATCATATGAATGTATTGCAATGTATTGTTTCATCCCTCTCTTCATGAACATTTTGTATTTCTAGTTTTGGGCTCCTATAAATAAAGCTACCATGAACATTTCTGTCCATGTCTTTTGGAGCACACACAGAGTTCTTTCTCTCAGGTGTCTGCCTAGCAGTGGAATTGCTCAGGGATGATATATGTACCTTTAGCTTTCATAGTTACTGACAAACCATTTCTCAAAGCAGCTTCCCAGGTTACCATCCTGCCAGCAATGTGAGGAAGCTGCATTTGCCCCATATACTTGCAAATAGTTGGTTGTTCGTCTTTTCCATTTTAGTTCTGCTGCTGCAGTGTTTTGATACTTCCTTGTGGTTTAATTTCCATAATGACTAATGAAGTTGAACACCTTCCCATTTGTGTGTGTGTGTGTGTGTGTGTGTGGCCATTTGGATATCCTTGGTAAAATGTCTCTTCAAGTCCATTGCCCATTAAATGGGTCTTCTGCCTCTCTTAATTTGTAGGAAGCCTTTGCAAATATAAAGGGTACAGCTCTTTTGTCAGATGTTTGTGTCACTAAACGTCATCATGGCCTAGTTTTTTTTTTTTTTTTTTTTTGAGATGGAGTCTCGCTCTGTCACCCAGGCTGGAGTGCAGTGGCGCCATCTTGGCTCACTGCAAGCTCCGCCTCCTGGGTTTACGCCATTCTCTTGCCTCAGCCTCCCCAGCAGCTGGGACTACAGGTGCCCACCGCCACACCCGGCTAATTTTTTGTATTTTTAGTAGAGACGGGGTTTCACGGTATTAGCCAGGATGGTCTCGATCTTCTGACCTTGTGATCTGCCCACCTCGGCCTCCCAAAGTGCTGGGATTACAGGCGTGAGCCACCACACCCAGCAATGGCCTAGTTTTAACTCAGGGCTCTGCTAAAATCGCATGGGATCACAGGTGTGGAAGGGTTTGCTTTCCGAGAGGACTGCAGAGATTTCCCCCACTCCCTGCTCCAGCCTTCCCTTCTCTCATAGAAACAAATGTAGGGAGTCTCTCTGTTCTCCTGCAGAGTCCAGGGTTGCTGGAGAACTGAGAAGGGCTGTGCCATGGTTTCTTCTCAGCACCAAGAGACTGGGTTTTCCCTGAGAATGACAAACTTGTCAGGTGCGCCCCTAACAAACGTGTATTCAGCACCGAGGACAGCGATCCCAGGAGCCGCCAGAGCCTAGAGGCCCAGAAATGGCTGCAAATGGGTGGAACCATGCTCTCTGTCCACCTCTTCCTCTGTGATCTGGGGTTGAGCGTTCCTTGCTTTCTGCTGTGGTTTCACCCCTCAGCTTCGACTTTAACAATAGCATAAGATGATCAGTAAATACCTAAAATGGAGACCTGATCAAGGAAGGGAGAGGTGGGGACACGTGTGTGTGAGTTCTGGGAAGCCTTTAGGACAACTTCACCCCTCACCTGGGTACCCTGATGAGCATGGTAGGGAGGAGCCCCACGGTCTGCCTTCCTTCACTTCCTTATTCCAGGACACTGGCAAAAATGATGTGGTCCAGTGTGCCCCGCAGAAGCTGGCCTCTGTTGGATGTTTCTTGCCTGTGAGATGACTAAGAGCTGTGGCTCCTGGTCTTTCTACCTCCTCACTTCTGACCAGGAACACAGAAAGGTCTCTAGCACCCTTGGATCCTGAAAGGGGAAAGGCAGGAACTCCACAGTCCTTTCCCCTGAGCTACCAAAGCATTCTTCCCCTGCCCCAAGTCAGCGTCATTTGGGGAATGGAGCTGAGAAAACTTACTCTGGGTGTGGAAGAAGGAATTAACCAAACCCAGTGCTCCCTGGGTTCTGAGCAGTGGGGTGGGATTGTGCCATAGTTTTGAATTAAGACTTTGAAAGCACTTTGGGGCCAGGCGTGGTGGCTCACGCCGGTAATCCCAGCACTTTGGGAGGCTGAGGCGGGAGGACCACGAGGTCAGGAGATTGAGACCATCCTGGTTAACATGGTGAAACACCGTTTCTACTAAAAACACAAAAAAATCAAAAAATTAGCCGGGCCTGGTGGAGGGGGCCTGTAGTTCCAGCTACTTGGGAGGCTGAGGCAGGAGAATGGCGTGAACCTGGGAGGTGGAGCTTGCAGTGAGCTGAGATGGCACCACTGCACTACAGCCTGGGTGATAGAGCGAGTCCTGTCTCAAAAACAAACAAACAAACAAACAAAAAAAACCACTTTGGGAGATCAAGTGAGGTCAGGAGTTCCAGACCAGACTGGCCAATATGGCGATATATATCTCTACTGAACCTGGCTAATATATCTCTACTGAAAACACAAAAATCAGCCGGGCATGGTGGTGGGTGCCAGTAATCCCAGCTACTCGGGAGGGTGAGGCAGGATAATTGCTTGAACCCGGGAGGTGGAGGTTACAGTGAGCCAAGATCATGCCACTGCACTGCAGCCTGGGTGACAGAGTGAGACTTTGTCTCAGAACAAACAAACAAAACCACCAAGAGATGAATCCACCTGGGGAAGTATGTCTTTTTCAGAAGCCATAAAGCTCATCACTGCTATTATGAACTGAACTACATCCTCCTTCAAAAATTTGTAAGTTGGCGTCCTAACCTCTGGTACCTCAGAATGTGATTGTATTTGGAGATAGGGTCTTTGAAGAAGTGATTAAGTTAAAATGAGGTCAGTTTGGGATTGTGAGGCAGATGGATCGCTTGAGCCCAGGAGTTTGAAATCTACCTAGGCAGCATGGTGAGAACGCCATCTCCAAAAAAAAAAAAAAAAAAGCCAGGCTGGGCACGGTGGCTGACACTTGTAATCCCAGCACTTTGGGAGGCAGAGGCAGGTGGATCGCTTGAGGTTAGGAGTTCAAGACCAGCCTGGCCAGCATGGTGAAACCCTGTCTCTACTTAAAAATACAAAAATTAGGCCAGGCGCAGTGGCTCACGCCTGTAATCCCAGCACTTTGAGAAGCTGAGGCGGGTGGATCACCTGAGGTCAAGAGTTCAAGACCAGCCTGGCCACCATGGTGAAACCCCATCTCAACTAAAAATACAAAAAAGTTAGCTGGGTGTGGTGGTGGGTGCCTGTAATCCCAGCTACTCAGGAGGCTGAGGCAGGAGAATCTCTTGAATACTGGAGGCAGAAGTTGCAGTGAGCCGAGATCACGGCATTGCACTCCAGCCTGGGGGACAGAGCGAGACTCCATCTCAAAAATGAATAAATTTAAAAAGTCACTAGGGTGGGCCATAATCCAACCTGACTGGTGTCCTTATTAGAAGAGGAGGTTAGGGCACAGACACATGGAGGACAAGGGAGAAGGTGGCCATCTGCAAGCCAAGGAGAGGCCTCAGGAGGAACCAAACCTGCCCACATCTTCATCTTGGACCTCCAGCCTCCAGAACGGTGAGAAAACAAATCTCTGCTGTTTGGGTCACCTAGTCTGTGCTCTTCGTTGCAGTAGCCCTAGCAAACAAATATACCAGATTTTATGGAAAACCCAACAGTGCCCAGATTCCTGGGTTCTGAACAACTGGGGGATGGAATTTTCTCATAGTCTTTCTTTCTTTCTTTTTCTTTCTTTCTTTCTTTCCTTTTCTTTCTTTCCTTCCTTCCTTCCTTCCTCTCCTTTATTTCTTTTTCTTTCTCTCCTTCCTTCCTTCCTTCCTTCCTTCCTTCCTTCCTTCCTTCCTCTCCTTTATTTCTTTTTCTTTCTTTCTCTCCTTCCTTCCTTCCTTCCTTCCCTCCCTCCCTCCCTCCTTCCTTCCTTCCTTCTTTTCTCTTCTTTTTTTTTGAGACAGAGTCTCGCTCTGTCGCCCAGGCTGGAGTGCAGTGGCCAGATCTCCACTCACTGCAAGCTCCGCCTCCCGGGTTCACGCCATTCTCCTGCCTCAGCCTCCCATGTAGCTGGGACTACAGGCGCCCACCAAAGCGCCCGGCTAATTTTTGTATTTTTAGTAGAGACGGGGTTTCACCGTGTTAGCCAGGATGGTCTCGATCTCCTGACCTCGTGATCCGCCCGTCTCGGCCTTCCAAAGTGCTGGGATTACAGGCTTGAGCCACCGCGCCCGGCCCTTTGTTTCTTATTTTGAGACGGAGTCTCACTCTGTCACCAAGGCTGGAGTGCAGTGGCGCCATCTCAGTTCACTGCAACCTCTGCCTCCCGCAGTCAAGCAATTCTCCTGCCTCAGCCTCCCGAGTAGCTGGGATTACAGGAGCACGCCACCATACCCAGCTAATTTTTGTATTTTTAGTAGAGACGGGGTTTTCACCATATTGGCCAGGCTGGTCTCGAACTCCTGACCTCAAGTGATCCACCTGCCTCGGCCTCCCAAAGTGCTGGGATTTCAGGTTTGAGCCACCGCGCCCGGCCCATGGTTATTTACTCAAGACTCAAAAAAGTTATTGATGATCCCCTCTGGAGGAAATATGTTTTGTTCCATGGGACGCTAAGGACATCCCGCCTTCCCCATCCTCCGCAGTCACTTTTCTGTTGATTTCATCAGCCTGTGTTCCCACCACGAGTGCTGCTCTGGGGTGCAGGACGCTCTGGCCCTGGGCTGGTAAGATTCGCTAAAGACGTGTGGTGTGTTCTCTCCTGAGTCTGCGCTTTGTGGGGTTGGTGGGGTTTTCCGTCGGGAGCGGCACCAGCCACCCTGGAGCCGCACTTCCAGAACCGCGTCAGCACCAAGGACAGCGCCAGGGAGCCTTGGCGGCAGGGACGGAGCCCCAGACGGGGCTGAGAAGTGGAAGAGGGAGGACCGTCGTGCCCTGGAGCCTGCGGCCGCCACGCCCTTATTCCAGCCCCAGCCTTCAACCCACTACACAGACGCCCAGTGAGCACTACGTGCCTCACGCAGGACGGAGGGTGGAGAGTGGGAGGCCCTGGGTGTCAACGTAGGGCCCCGGGAGGTACTGATTGACAGGCAGTAGCCCCCGGGCAGGTCCTGGCAGGCCCCACCTCTGACCTCAGGACACGGTCCAGGCTGTTCCGATTCTGTGCGTGACACCCCCCACGATACAAGTGAAAATCGCCACTCCCTGCCTGCCTTGGTGTTGGCAGCCCACCCCCAAGAGGCTCCCTGCCCTGGCTCCTCATTTCTGGCCTCGGTGCGAGGATGGAGCTAGGAGGACCCCAGCTCTCTTACAAGATGATGAGTCAGGCCCCTGTCACTTCCGGGATCTTTCCATCCTGGCACCCCGCAAGGCCAGGAAGAGCGAAAACACGGGCTGGATTCGGTGGAAACGAGTAACACAGGACACAGCGTGAGGAGCGAGCAAGCCGGAAAACCTGGGTAGGGGTGTGGACTGGTTCACCTGAAATGAGATCAAAGATCTAATCGCGGCCGGGCGTGGTGGCTCATGCCTGTAATCCCAGCACTTTGGGAGGCTGAGGCCGGTGGATCACATGAGGTCAGGAGTTCGAGAACAGCCTAGCCAACATGGCATAACCCCATCTCTACTAAAAATACAAAAATTAGCTGGGCGTGCGGGCGCATGCCTGTAATCCCAGCTACTCGGGAGGCCAGGGCAGGAGAATCGCTTGAACCCAGGAGGCAGAGGTTGCAGCGAGGCAGAAGTTGCAATAAGCCAAGATGACGCCGCTGCACTCCAGCCTGGGTGACAGAACGAGATTCCATTTCAAAGAAAAAGAAAATCTAATCCCGGATGAGAGTCCAGGGAAAGTGAGAGTGGAGGAAGCTTACATGAAAACGCAGACCAGATCCCCGAGGGTGGACCTGGATAACGTGACACACATAGTCAGATTCAGATTAAGCGATATTGCCTGAGGTTTCATCAGCATTCGGTGTGGAGTTAGCCTGATATCCCCTAAGATGAATAGACTTGTCTCTATCATGAAGAAGCTTCTTTCACTCTGATAAAAGAAAGGAAAAACAGGCAAAGCCACAGACAATGTGATGAGTATTATAATAAGAGATTTGTTTAGTTTGACTTCAAACATAGGAGGGAATAGCCAACTGTATCTGGCGTCAACCAGAAGTAGAAAGAGAAGTAGGCCCTGGCTGGTGGAGAAAGATTTTACCAGGCAGAGGGAATGGTGTGTGCAAAGGCCCTGAGGTTTGAATCAACCTACAGTGCTAAGAAAAACATTCACAGACATCTGGGTAGCTGGAGTAAAGATAGGAGAAGAGGCTGGTGAGGTGGGCAGAGAGCAGATCTGAAAGAACTCCAATCTCACGGTAAAGAAATCATTCATTCGGCCGGGCGCAGTGGCTCAAGCCTGTAATCCCAGCACTTTGGGAGGCCGAGATGGGTGGATCACGAGGTCAGGAGATTGAGACTATCCTGGCTAACATGGTGAAACCCCATCTCTACTAAAAAAAATACAAAAAACTAGCCGGGCCAGGTGGCGGGCGCCTGTAGTCCCAGCTACTCGGGAGGCTGAGGCAGGAGAATGACATAAACCCGGGAGGCGGAACTTGCAGTGAGCTGAGATCCGGCTACTGCACTCCAGCCTGGGCGACAGAGCGAGACTCCATCTCAAAAAAAAATTAAAAAATAAATCATTCATTCATTCATTCATTCATTCATTCATTCATCAACAAATCTTACTGAGAAATGAATAAACATCTATAAGTATCCATCCCAGTGAGGATAAATTGCTACCCAGGAGTGAGGGAGAACAATGTGATGTCTTATGAGTTGATAAGATGACTGAGGTCCCAGACAGTCTAAAGGGAATCAAACTGGTGGGGTAAAGAACACTCTTCATGGCCGGGCGCGGTGGCTCAAGCCTGTAATCCCAGCACTTTGGGAGGCCGAGACGGGCGGATCACGAGGTCAGGAGATCGAGACCATCCTGGCGAACACGGTGAAACCCCGTCTCTACTAAAAATACAAAAAACCAGCCGGGCGAGGTGGCGGGCGCCTGTAGTCCCAGCTACTGGGGAGGCTGAGGCAGGAGAATGGCGCAAACCCGGGAGGCGGAGCTTGCAGTGAGCTGAGATCCGGCCACTGCACTCCAGCCCGGGCTACAGAGCGAGACTCCGTCTCAAAAAAAAAAAAAAAAAAAAGAACACTCTTCATTCAGGCTAACTTCTATAGGCAAAATGCCTTTTCCAGTTCACTTGCTGAATACCAGGGGCCAGAGGCTGTGTTGATTTGCTGAAGAGACCTTACCCTGAGAAGGCCAGCCACCCCCGAAGGTATCACCCTTTCTTTTTTCTTTCTTTTCTTTGTTTCTTTTCTTTTCTTTTTTTCATCTTTTTTATTTTTGAGATGGGAGTTTCCCTATGTTGCCCAGGCTGGAGTGCAGTGGCGCGATCTCGGCTCACTGCAAGCTCCGCCCCCCGGGTTCCCGCCATTCTCCTGCCTCAGCCTCCCGAGTAGCTGGGACTACAGGCGCCCCCACCACACCTGGCTAATTTTTTGTATTTTTAGTAGAGAGGGGGTTTCACCGTGTTAGCCAGGATGGTCTCGATCTCCTGACCTCGTGATCTGCTCACCTTGGCCTCCCAAAGTGCTGGGATTACAGGCGTGAGCCACCAAGCCCGGCTGGTATCACCATTTCTTACTTCTGTCTTCCAAGATCCATCAGCTCCCGCACAGATTAATCTTGTGAATCAAAGGATAATGTTCTAGGAATCACCCTCCCATCCACCACCCCCGTGTCTTCCAAGGCTTGATGCTGGCGTTAATCTCTGTGATTCCCTGGGTTGACTATCTGGGGAGGATGGTACTATAGTTTGGATCTGTGTCCCCGCCAAATCTCATGTTGAAATGGAATCCCCAGTGTTGGAGGCGGGACTTGGTGGAAGGTGTTTGGATCTTGGGGGTGGACCCCTCGTGAATGATTTAGTACTAAGGAAGGAGACCACTACTCCTGCTGCCCTCCTCCCCCGACCTTGCCTCGTTCACAAGACAGGAGGAAAGAGAGAAAGAAACAAAAGTAAGATAAATAGCCAGACAACCTTGGCACCACCACCCGGCCCTAGGAGTTAAAAAAAGTAATAATAATAACATCAACCCCTGGCCTAAACTACTTGTGTTATCTGTAAATTCCAGACACTGTATGAAAAAAGCATTGTAAAAACTTTTTGTTCTGTTAGCTGATGCACGTAGCCCCCAGCCACGTTTCCCATGCTTGCTCGATTTATCACGACCCTTTCATGTGGACCCCTTAAAGTTGTAAGCCTTTGAAAAGGCCAAGAATTTCTTTTTCAAGGAGCTCGGCTCTTAAGACGCGAGTCTGCCAACACTCCCGGCGGAATAAAAAACCTCTTCCTTCTTTAATCCGGTGTCTGAGGAGTTTTGTCTACGGCTGGTCCTGCTACATTTCTTGGTTCCCGGACGGGGAAGCGAGGTGATTAAAGGATGGTCAAGGCAGCCTCTTAGGCAGCTTATGCCTGCCCTGTAGAGCATCCCTGCGGGAGACTCTGGCCAGCTTGAGCGACTCGGATGCTGAGAGCGCTCCAGGGTAGGCATTTGTCCTGGTGGAACGCCTCATCAGAGCAGTGCACAGCAGGCCCCTGTGGGGGATCAACGCAGTGGCTGAACACCGGGAAGGAACTGGCACTTTAAGTCCGGACATCTGAAACTTAGTAAGACTGGTCTTTGGAACTCGCCCACTCCATTTGAGTGGAAGCGTGGCCTGATCACCCACGGCGTGCCTGTACTGGCACTTTGGTTTTTGTTTTTGATTTGACTTGAATTAATTGCTTGATACTTTGGTTTTAGTTTTTATTTTGACTTGACTTGAATGACTTGATAAACAGGCGTGCCTTTATTGGCGTGCCTTTATTTTGACTTGGCTTAAATTGCTTGACGAACAGGTGTACCTTTAACAACATTTGGTTTTAGTTTTGGTTTTGATTTCGTGTGAATGAGATGAGTGACCTTTTACCCTTTCCTTCTTGTAGTGTGAATGTTGTTTTGTCTCGAGAGAAAAATAGGTCAGACACACAGTAAGCCCACTCTGCTAGGAACTCTGTTAAAATATTTCAAAAAAAAAAAAAAAAGGAAAGTCATCAAATCATCAAAACTTACTCTATTAAAATGCAGGTTACAGAACCTTAAGAAAGGTTTTGCAGGAAATTATAGAGTTAAGTTAACCCCTTAGAGGTTAAGATCTCTGTGTGAATTAGAACTGCCCTCTGTTGGTGTTGGATGGCCCACCGAAGGAACTATAGACAAGGAAAAATTGGCCATGTATTTCAGGTGGTGACAGGGGTTGGAGGACAGCCAGTGTACCTAGACCAAGTTCTTTTTTTTTTTTTTTTTTTTTGAGACGGAGTCTCGCTCTGTCTCCCAGGCTGGAGTGCAGTGGCCGGATCTCGGCTCACTACAAGCTCCGCCTCCTGGGTTTACGCCATTCTCCTGCCTCAGCCTCCCGAGTAGCTGGGACTACAGGCGCCCGCCACCTCGCCCGGCTAGTTTTTTGTATTTTTTAGTAGAGACGGGGTTTCACCATGTTAGTCAGGATGGTCTCGATCTCCTGACCTCGTGATCCGCCCGTCTCGGCCTCCCAAAGTGCTGGGATTACAGGCTTGAGCCACCGCGCCCGGCCGACCAAGTTCTTTTATATTGACTCATGGTTAAATATAACACAGACAAAACCAGCATAAATTTAGCCCTGTTTAACAGCTTATTGCAGAAAAGCCAAAAGTAAAAGTAAGAACAGCTTCACCAGCAGACACAGAGTTAAAAAAGACAGTCCCAGAAACAGCAAGAGAAGCCAGTTTTGCAGGAGCCGTCAGAGATAACAGAAATTCTTTCTCCATGTGTCCCAGCCTACCCCGCTTTACCGAGGCCAACAGCCCCTCAGAAACAACATTCAGGAGCTAACACGCCCCAGGTCTCACCTCGAAGGGGAGGATCGGAGTCTCGAGAGACCAAGGAAGGAAGTCAAGATAGCCAGGTGGGCCGTCTCAGATCTGGTCTTGCTCGAGCTATGCAAATGCCTCTCAGGGAGACGCGAGGACCTGTCTATTATAATGACCAGACCCACACCCATAGGGGCAACAGACTTTCATCTATCAGCCCTTTTCAACCACTGATCTACTAAACTGGAAACACCCTGAGCCCGCCACCTTGCTCTGCGCAGCTAGAGCCCTGTCGAGCATGACTATGTAGAGGTGTTGGACTCAAGTTTACTCCAGCAGACCTGACCTATGGGACCAGCCTTGGGCATCAGTAGACTAGGAGCTATACGTGGACGGGAACAGCTTCATCAACCCACAAGGAGAGAGATGTGCAGAGTATGCGGTGGTAACCCTGGACACTGTCGTTAAGCTGAGCCCATTGCTTTAATTCGGGCCTTAGAACTCGGTGAAGGTAAGACTGTAAACATTTACACTGACTCTCAGTATGCCTGTTTCACCCTCCAAGTGAATGAAAAATTATATAAAAGAAAAGGGCCTGTTAAGCTCTAGGAAAAAGGAGAAAAACACCCAGAAAATGCAATTCAGCTTCAACGTTTGCAGAGGTACTGAGAAGCACTTCTGCAGAGGTTAAGAGCTGGTAGAAAAAAGAAAGACTAGGCCGGGCGCGGTGGCTCAAGCCTGTAATCCCAGCACTTTGGGAGGCCGAGACGGGTGGATCACGAGGTCAGGAGATCGAGACCATCCTCGGTGAAACCGCCCGTCCTCTACTAAAAAATACAAAAAACCTAGGCGCGAGGGTGGCCGGGCCGCCTTAGTCCAGCTATCGGGAGGCTGAAAGGCAAGGGAATGGCGAAAAAAAAAAAAAAGAAAAGAAAAAAGAAGACTAAGAGTGAGTACAAAAAAGAAAAATTAGCAATGTGAGAGGACATGAACGTGGATGTAAGTGTAAAAAAAAGTCAAGTTAGGCAAGGATTCAAGAGCCGGACAAGGCTAGAGAGAGATTAATATGCGAGGTGCAGAAAGAAAGGACACTAGAAGGGTAAATGTTCACAAGGCAGTAAAGAAAATGGCCAAGACCGCAAGACAAAGAGGCCATTGGCCAAGGGCTGCCTCACCTTGGAGGAACCAGATACTGATCTGATCAGACTGACAGGAGCTGAAGAATGTAAAGACTAGGGCAGACTATGCACCTTCTCATTAGGCTCCCGGGAGCTCATGGTCACATTAGAAGTTAAAAACAGCAAGATTCTGCCATATCTGGATTCCAATTTCTCGCTGAAGGCTAAGCCACTAAATAGAGTTACAAATGGGGGGAGAAGAATCCCTCCTCTAAGAAACTTAAACAGGAAAAAGAGCCGTACCTTGTGAAAACTTGTTTGTAGACCTTACAGAAGTGCCCCGTGCTGGAGGTTATCGGTACATGCTAGTGCTTGTTTGCTCATTTAAGATAAAATCAGGTTTCTGCCTATGGTCCTCCTCCGAGTCAGGTGCACCCCCACCAAACAAACTAGGTATTTGCCCTGTAAGATTTTGTTCCGTCGGCCATCTCCAAATCATAAGTTAAATTAAAGGTGACCTCCAGAAACTAAAGAAATTAACCTTAACAAAAGCAAATGCAGGCTTTAAAAATAGCCATACAACGTGCTCATAATTAAATAAATGAAAACAAAAAACTTCTTCCTTCTTTTTTTTTTTTTTTTGAGACGGAGTCTCACTCTGTCGCCCAGGCTGGAGTGCAGTGGCGCGATCTCGGCTCACTGCAAGCTCCGCCTCCCGGGTTCACACCATTCTCCTGCCTCAGCCTCCTGAGTAGCTGGGACTACAGGCGCCCGCCACCGCGCCCGGCTAATTTTTTGTATAGAGATGGGGTTTCACCGTGGTCTCGATCTCCTGACCTCGTGATCCTCCCGTCTCAGCCTCCCAAAGTGCTGGGATTACAGGCTTGAGCCACTGCGCCCGGCTGCTTTTTGTTTTTTGAGATGGAGTATCCCTCTGTCACCCAGGCTAGAGTGTAGTGGTGTGATCTCAGCTCACTGCAGCCTCCGCCTCCCCGGTTCAAGTGATTCTCCTGCCTCAGTCTCCTGAGTAGCTGTGATTACAGGTATGCACCATCATGCCCAGCTAATTTTTGTATTTTTTAGTAGAGATGGCCACCATGTTGGCCAGGCTGGTCTTGAACTCCTGACCTCAGGTGATCCACCCACCTCGGTCTTCCAAAGTGCTGGGATTACAGCCGTGAGGCACCATGCCTGGCCAAGGAGTTGGATTTTGAAGAGAAGGCAAGTCGAGTGTGGTAGGATGGTGGGTGTGGAGTCAACATAAGTAATGTGGTTTTTTCAGACGGGGAGGGTGAGCATGTTTATAAGGTGGAGATCTAGATGGGAGGGAAGAAAGAAAGAGGGAAAAGAGAGAGAGTGAGTGGGGGAGAGGGAGAGGGAGGAAGGGAGGGAGAGAGAGAGAGAGAGAGAGAGAGAGATATCAAAAAGTATAGGGGAGACAGCTGGTGGTGGCTTATGCCTGTAATCCCAGGACTTTGGGAGGCCAAGGTGGGAGGATCACTTAAGCCTAGGAGTTCGAGACCAGTCTGGGCAACATAACAAGACCCCATCTCTATTTAAAAGAGAAATTTAAGATATAAGAGAGAAACAGAGAAAGTTTAGAACAGAAACCCAAGTGACTGGCAGGAATGACATCTGGTGCCTACTGAAAGGAAACTTCTCGCAACCAAACCCTTCTGTGTACAGATGGGGAAACCGAGGCTCTCAGAGACAGAGGAACTGACTTCCCAAGAGCAGTGGTGTGAGAACTTATTTATTTATTTTGTTTATTTTGAGACAGAGTCTTCCTCTGTCCCCCAGGCTGGAGTGCAGTGATGCAAACACAGCTCACTGCAGCCTCCACCTCTTGGGCTCAACTGATTCCCCCTCCTCAGCCTCCTGAGGAGCTGAGACCACAGGCATGCACCACCATGCCTGGTAATTTACTTTTACTTTTTATAGAGACGGGATCTCCCTATGTTGCCCAGGCTGGTCTTGAACTCCTGGGCTCAAGGGATCCTCTCGCCTCAGCCTCCCAAATTGCTGGAATTACAGACATGAGTAACCATGCCCAGCTGTTTTGTTTTCTGAGACAGGGACTCACTCTGTCACCCAGGCTGGAGTTCAGTGGCACAATCACAGCTTACTGCAGCCTTGACCTCCCAGGCTCAGGTGATCCCCCCACCTCAGCCTCCCGGGTAGCTGGGACTACAGGCGTGCACCATGCCTAGGTAATTTTTTCTTTCTTTTTGTTTTTCTTTGCAAAAGATGGGGTTTTGCTATATCGCCCGGGCTGGTCTCAAATTCCTGGGCTCAAGTGATCTTCCCACTTCAGCCTCCTGAGTAGCTGGGCACACTCCAACATGCCCGGCTGGGGTTTGTATTCTTAACTTCCAGACTACATGTGAGATTAAGGCAGTTCACCTGTGCACATAATTAGTAAGTCAACAAAAACACTTTGAAAAGCCCTGGGTGTCAGGCCCCTTCTGAGCACAGGTGACCTAGGGATGAACTAAAAATAAATGTGACTAAGATTCATCAAGTGTTTAAAACGGGCCAGGCTTTGTTCCAAGACTTTCCACGTAGTAACTCATCTATTTATCTTAGCATATTTACAAGGGTGCCCATTCTTTAGAGATGACGAATCTGAGTCACTGAGGACTTAAGTCATTTGCCCAGGGTCAGATGAGTATCTGATGGTGAATATGAATATGCAGATGATATGCAAATTAGAAGAGTCTGTGATGTGGAGACAGTGCACAGGGTCCTGACTGGGCTAGAAAGGCCCCAGGCCCAGCGTGGGTCATTTTCAAGCTGAATCCTAATGGAGGAGTAGGTAGGAGACTGTTGGGGGGAAAGTAGGCAGGTGCACCTGGTGGGGGAAACAGTCTAGGCAAAGGCCAGCAGGTGGGAGCCCGCTGGGCTCATTTTGTGAGAGCTGCAGGGGCTTGTGGGAGACGGAGAGGGGAAAGGCGTCAGAGCCTGAATGGGAGAGCGTGCTTCAGGGACGAGGGGCGTGAGGTCTAAGCCCCAGGCTGCTCTTGATATGTGATCACCCAGCAAGCAGACAAGGGAGTCAGCTGGCCTTTCTCTCAACACCCCCCGCTCTCATCCTCTGCCCCACGACCCACGTTCGTGCAGCAGTGGGACGCGGCACCCAGTACCTCGGATGCAGAGGGAGATTTCAGGGGACAAAGTGGAGTGGGCTGGAGGAAGGATCGGAGGCATCTGCAGTGTCAGAGCTAGAGGCAGCGGTGAGGGAGGAAGGTGAGGGCCAGCGGGGCAGGGCTGGGAGCTGGGTTCCACTTCCTCCTCCTCCCCTTCCCGCCCTGGCCTCTGGCTTCACCAATGATCTGGGAAAGGGGAAATTCTTGAGTATAAAGTCCAGCAGGTGGAAGGACCAGGCCTGGGACTCCTGGGTCCCCAGCAGTATCTGGAGGCATGGCTGGGGCTGGCGGGGGCCTCAGGGTCTGGGGGAGCCTGGTGCTGCTGGTAAGTGCTCCCCACCCAGAGCAGGCTCCCAAGGCAGGGACTCCCAGGTCTGAGGGAGAAGGAGCTGGGTCCCTGCACCTCGATCTTGAGGAATTAGGTGCCAAAGATCCCCTGGAGAAGGAAGAGGGCTTCAGGCTTGGCAGAAACTGTAGGAGAGTCTTACACCTGGGCTCTTAGAGACTGCTGTGTCTGCTGCGGGGACACCGGCTTCACCCGGGCTTTTAGAGATTGCTGTGTCTGCTGCGGGGACACCGGCTTCACCCGGGCTTTTAGAGACTGAGGAAGGAGGGGGCTGCTCCCTGTCCGTCAGTCATTGTGAGCACAGCTGTGTGTCGCCTGAAGCCAGTGTCCCCTGCAGCAGACTAGAGGCAGCGGTTGTGTCTGCTGCGGGGACACCGGCTTCACCCGGGCTTTTAGAGATTGCTGTGTCTGCTGCGGGGACACCGGCTTCACCCGGGCTTTTAGAGATTGTTGGCTGTGGCGGGGACACCGGCTTCACCTGGACTCCTAGATACTGCCATGTCTGCTGCAGGGACACGGGCTTCACCCGGGTTTTTAGACACTGCTGTGTCTGCTGCGGGGACACCGGCTTCACTGGGACTCCTAGATACTGCCAAGTCTGCTGCGGGGACACTGGCTTCACCTGGGTTCTTAGACACTGCTGTGTCTGCTGCAGGGGACACTGGCTTCAGGCGACACACAGCTGTGCTCACAATGACTGACGGACAGGGAGCAGCCCCCTCCTTCCTCAGACTAAGAGTCCAGACCCCAGCCCCTCCTCCCTCAGACTAGGAGTCCAGACCCCAGCCCCTCCTCCCTCAGACTAGGAGTCCAGACCCCAGCCCCTCCTCCCTCAGATTAGGAGTCCAGACCCTCAGCCCGTCCTCCCTCAGACCCAGGAGTCCAGATCCCCAACCTCTCCTCTCTCAGACCCAGGAGTCCAGATCCCCGCCCCTCCACCCTCAGACCGAGGCCCCCAGGCCCTCCACCCTCAGACCCAGGCCCCCAGCCCCTCCACCCTCAGACCCAGGCCCCCAGCCCCTCCACCCTCAGACCCAGGCCCCCAGGCCCCTCCACCCTCAGACCCAGGCCCCCAGCCCCTCCACCCTCAGACCCAGGCCCCCAGGCCCTCCACCCTCAGACCCAGGCCCCCAGGCCCTCCACCCTCAGACCCAGGCCCCCAGGCCCCTCCACCCTCAGGCCAAGGTTCCTGTTCCCCAACCTTGGTTTTTTTCTCTCTTCCCAGTGTGTTCATTGCTCTCTGCCCTCGGTTTTCAAGGCCATATATTTCGGGAAATGAAATCATTAATTTTATCTCTCGGCCTTCTTGGGTGGAGCCAACCCCAGCCCCCGACTCCGCCCCTGCCGTGCTCCCCCTTCTCGACCCAGGAAAGATGGTTTGGGTGACCTTCGTGACAGCCAACCTAACGGGGGGCCCCACCCTCCCGTGCAAGGGTGACTCATGGGGCGGGGGACCAGCCGCTCCTCCCAGCCCCGCAGCCTCACTGGGCGGAGGAGTGGTAGAGAGGCTGACTCCGTTTTCTCTGGGTTCCCTCCAGGGCCTGTGCAGCTGGACAGGGACCAGGGCGACCGGTGAGTGACCCCTGCCTGAACTCACTGCCCACTCGAAGAGGTGGGACCGCGTGGGGCCCAGTGGTCCATGGTAGGGCTTATGAGCACTGTTGTTTCTGGACTCGGGGCACGAGCTCAAGGGGTTGGGAGGGATGGCACTGACCTGGTTCCCTTTTCACCAGACCCTCCTTCCCAATTCTCAGCCCCCAACCCAGTGAGAAACCTGACAGTGAAGACTGAGACCACCAGCTCCATCTCCCTGAGCTGGGAGGTCCCCGATGACCCACAGAACTCCACCTACCGGGTTCAGTGTACTGGAGACTGTGGTAGAACCGAGACGCAAACCACAACAGACACCAACATCACCGTGGATGGACTTAAACCCGGGTCATTGTGTACGTGTTCTGTGTGGGTGGAGAAAGACGGAGTAAACAGCTCTGTGGAGACTGTCACTACTGCCACAGGTAAGAGGCAGCCACTGTTTTATTTTTATTTCTTTTGTAAGGACAGTGGTAGGCAGTGGCTGAAAGCTGACAAAATGCGACAGGTTCTTTAGTCCAATCGAAACAGTGGAAGCCACACATGAGAATTTCAATTTTTCTGTCAGCCACATAAAAATAAGTAAAAAGAAACTGGTCCGCCTGTTTCTCCAAAAAAATTAAAAAATTAGCTGTGGTGGCGTGTTCCTGTGGTTCCATCTCCTCAGGAGGCTAAGGTGAGAGGATCGCTTGAGCCCGGGAAGCAGAGATTGCAGTGAGCTCTGATTGGACCACTGCACTCCAGCCTGGACAACAGAGAGAAATCCTGTCTCAAAAACAAACAAAAACTTTTTTCTTTTTTTTTTTTTTTTTTTTTTTTCCGCCCAGGCTGGAGTGCAGTGGCGTGATCTTGGCTCACTGCAAGCTCCGCCTCCCAGGTTCCCGCATTCTCCCTGCCTCAGCCTCCCCGAGTAGCCTGGGACTACAGGCGCCGCCA